TTTAGAGCTACCTGCAGCAAGGTTTTTATCTCCAAAAAGCCATTTTGCAACCAGTTAGAGGTACACAAAGTCGCCTGTTTTTGAAACACTTTATCGTTCGTAAAACACTCAAGCTTCATTGTATCAATATGCAAGTTAACTCATTCCATAGGAGATTTCAAGCTCTTTAAAATGGTTATACTTATTCGTAGCTCAAGAACAAAATGAGTCTCTCAGAGGGGGAAAAGATGGTATTTCTAGTTAAAGAGTGACGCAGCTACTAACGCATGCATTGATTTACTGAACAAAAAATATTAATAAAAAGCATAAACATTGGTTAATATTGTGTGTGAGTTTTGTTTCCATGAATTGTATTCTCTTGGAGTTATTCAAGAATAAAGCAAGAAAATCTCAATTTTTTACTCCAAAATCGGTCAAAAAATCCCAACCCTCCTCTGTTTACTTAGCAACAATACAAATGAATGGAGGTTTGCCCACGCCCACGCTTTCGTTTCCAATCCCTTTCATTTACTCTATTATCTATGGTGTGAGTTATTGGGTGTGGTCTCACCAGGAAATTGTTTGACTGATAGTGTTCATAATAAATGAAATATTCTCTTCATAACTGAGGGACAGGAACGAGCAGAATTAGTAATGGCACTTATGAGATTCTCGACAAAAAATAATAAATCAGTCTATGGAGAGAGAGAAATAAATTATTATGAATATGTTAATACTGTATTAGAAAATGTTATGTATAGTCAACTAAATTAACTTTTGAGCTCCAGCACTTTACTGGCCATTATTCCCTCCTAGTCATCCTCTGCTAAGCATCTTATAAAGTCCAACAGTTCATCTCTTTGCTTCTTACTAGCTCCTACCCAGCTCTTCTGAAAGCAGCCAAACAAGTGGTCCAACTGATTGGGAGAGAAGTCCCAGGCTAACTAAACTAACAATTCATGTATGTTCTTCACTATAGCCTCATGTTTACCATCCTATGGAGTAAGGGGATAGTAGTTGTTTATTTATTTGTTTGTTTGTTTGTTTCTTTATTACTTGACGGTTCCATATTCTGTCCAGGCCTTCAAGCATCAATACTTTCTCTTTTATACAAAACCTCACCAGCTTATCCAACTTCTCCACATACTACAAGAACAAGAAGAGAAGCAATATATATACAGCATAAACATGTACAATATATACACACCCTCTTCCCCCTCCCTCTTCCCCCTCTCCCTCTCTCTCACTTACTTGTGCTTGGTGGAGGTTATCTCTATAGACAATAGCTAACACATTATTGGTTTTAATCCACTCCTAAATAAATAAATAAATAAATAAATAATAATAAACTCACAGCTATTCTTTCAGTTGTGAGTTGTTCCTCATCTCCTATTGTTTTGAAGTGAGGATGATAACTCATTGAAGGGACAATCTTATTAATCTATTAATAATAATAATAATAAAATAATAATGAATATTCATTACTTCATTGAGGGCATTCATTTTCCCACTAAAGCTCGGTATTTGTAATAATCTTAAAATCATTTTTAAACAAAACGTTTCAATATCATCTCTACCAGGAATCACTGAACACAAGTGACACAAAGACTATAAGGAGAGGAGAGAATATAAGGGCATCAATATATATCAGAAAATGTCATAAAAATTTGGGGTGATTTTGGAGCCATTTTTTGGAAAAAAAAAACCATGGGCCATAGGCCTTAGGTATTTTTCAGAATTTTGATAACTTCTTAAAATGGTTGTAACTTGAAAAATTGAAGTCGGAATCAACTCAAACTTGCTACACAGCATAAGTACATCAATATGCATCAAAAAATGTAATAAAAATTTGGGGTGATTTCGGAGCCATTTTTCGGAAAAAACCACAGGCTATAGCCTTAGGTATTTTTCAGAATTTTGACAACTTCTTAAAATGGTTGTAACTTGAAAAATTGAAGTCGGAATCAACTCAAACTTGCTACACAGCATAAGTACATCAATATGTATCAGAAAATGTAATAAAAATTTGGGGTGATTTTGGAGCCATTTTTCGGAAAAAACCATGGGCTATAGCCTTAGCCTTGGGTATTTTTCAGAATTTTGGCATTTTCTTAAAATGGCCGTAACTTGAAAAATTGAAGTCGGAATCGCCTCAAACTTGCTACACAGCATAAGGACATCAATATGTATCAGAAAATGTAATAAAAATTTGGGGTGATTTTGGAGCCATTTTTTGGAAAAAACCATGGGCTATAGCCTTAGGTACATATACTTTTCAGGATTATAGCATTTTTTAAAAATGGCCGTAACTTGAAAAATTGAAGTCGGAATCAGCTCAAACTTGCTACACAGCATAAGGACATCAATATGTATCAGAAAATGTAATAAAAATTTGGGGTAATTTCGGAGCCATTTTTTGGAAAAAACATGGGCTATTTTTCAGGATTATAGCATTTTAAAAAAATGACCGTAACTTGAAAAATTGAAGTCGGAATCAGCTCAAACTTGCTACACAGCATAAGTACATCAATATGTGCACAATATAATTGGTCACACCTCCACTGATATCCCAATACTACTAGATGAATGTAAAACATTGAAGGGGCGAGCACGAGCATACACTGACTTGCATGCATGGCCCATGGAAGACAA